AGGACCATCTGTACTTAATGGCCAGGGGTGGCTAGTGACCGCTCTATTAGAAAGCACCTGTTATGGGACATTTGCATCACAAAGAAAGTTCTAGAGCTGCATTAACACCTGGTTCAGATATTATTAAGAAACAGGGTTCAAGTATACAGTTAAAAGAAATAGATGTAGTATTCAATAGGTCAGCAGGCTGCCAATAATTAACAATAATCTATGGCACATCTCAAGATAGCTAGAAGACTAATAATTTGAATGTTCCTAACATAAAGAAAAGATAAATATTTAAGGTGATATTATCCTAATTACCGTGATTTGATCTTCAGACATGATAGGAATGCATTGAATTATCATATGTACCTGAAAATATATACATCTATTATGTATCAATAAAAGTCTATTAAGAAACACAGCAAGAGGAAATCAAACACCCAGATTGGGTTGGAGCAGATCAGATTCTACAAAGGGATGTTTGTATGACTTTGCTCACAGCTGACACTGTTAAAATACCAGTTGATTAGATTAGTGAATGACTAAAACTCTTTCCTTTCCTTATACAGATCAACCTCTCTGATGGTAAGAAGAACAGATACTCCGGTTGGCCAGCAGAGGTCCAGATAGAAGGCTGTGTGCCCAAAGAAGCAAGCTAGCACTGAGCCGTCCTTAATAAACGTGTTTTGTATAAACAAACGCAGCTGGAAGGGCCGAGAATATCATCTCTCTAAGTCCTTGTTGTAAAGGAATGAACATTTCCTAGTTGTGTCACATATTGGCATACAGTATTTTTATACCAGCATTTATATAGTGAAGATATTAACGGAAAACCCAAAAGAATGGGAATGAATTCTTAAAGGGAATAAAATGATTTAAGCTCAAAAGGAGAGTAGGGGGAAATCACTGACACCTGTCCAGGTGTGGGGCTGCATCATGATCAGATCTCAGCACGACCCCGTGTGGTCCAGATGGCTCTGCACAGAGAAACCGTTACTCCAGTAACATGGAGCACACTGTGGTGCCCAGCAGACGCCTTCTGTGGGGAGAAGGTACAGCGGTCCAGAAGGCGTGGACACCTTCCTTGATCAGCCCAAGGGGGGCCTCTTAATCTTTTCCTGTGGGCTTGAGAATTCATTCATTCATTCCGCAACTCTGGTGCTTCCTGCCCTGTGGTACAGGGTACAGTATCCAACTGTACTGGGTACTGCCCAGGGTACAGTATCCAACAAGACGCAGTCCCTGCCTTGCTGCCAGGTGTGGACGGGGTGGGGAGGGAGGTACAGCACTCGGAAGGGCAGCCATGTGTCTCAGCTGCTCCAGGAAGCTTCGTGCTCAGGGAGGTGGCCTTGGTGATGGGTGTGACTCAGTGTGGAGAAAGTGTGAGCACTGGGCCACAGCATCGCTGTCAGGTGTCCACTCTACCCTCTTCCCAGGCCCGGCCTTCAGAAAGCTATGAGACCTCTCTGGGCTCGTGTTATCAGAGCTGTAAGATAGAGAATCTGGGATAGATGGATGGGTTTTGAGCATTTTT